GTTCAAGTCAGTTTTATGGTGTATGATTTACGTTCCAGCAAATATTGTTTATATATCATTTAGTCCACACATGCTTGAGAAACGTGTCTCACATACACAAATATATGTTAAGTTCTGTAAGCGCTCAATGATGAACAGGAAGGTATTGTCATCCACAAAGGCATAAGGAATGATTAAGCTGGTCAGGTTGCAGTTATTGCTGACAATCTCCGAAATCTCCTCCTGGACAAAAAAGTGACCTTCTTGACAGTCCAGTATTCTCAGTGACGGACTTGCTTTCACAATTAATAGCACTCCACTCCTCCTGAACCCGCAAACACCTTTAGGAACAAACGCTTGACAAAATTCCATCGGTGATACTGGTCCCTGACAAAGTGAGGCGCCTGAGCCCACTTAATAGTCCTCCTAGAAGTAACCATGAGCCATCCAAAAAATGGCTGTTAAAGAAGTCTACTGCGATTAGCCTTTTTGCAGCAGCAAATAGAGATGATAGTTGCTGATCCTCGCAGTGTGATCGAGTTATGGAAACATCTTTCACAAAGAGTAATCATAAAGAAGAGAACTCCACCTGAGGGATACCATACGCAAAACAATTCGCTCAGTAAAATGGATAAACGAAAAGATTCTTAAGAGAATTTCATCAGGAATCTTATCCATGACTCAGTGCTGGTATCTTTCATACGAGTGGCAGGTGGGTGAGGGGAAGGATTGATTATTTTTACTGGGTCCTGGTATTAAATAAAAAGGTGAGAAATTATTGCGGAAATTAGCGGTATCCAGTCCCTGGCCCAGAATATAGTTAGTTCTTTGTTTGTTTTGGTTACCTTTGGTTGGTTTAGTTGATACATTGGACCATCAAATCTTTTTTTGTAGGAAAGAGGGGACCATTTTGCGTTTGAGTTGCTATTTTTTGTGCAGCATTTCATCAAATAAATTCCCATCTTGCGATATTGCGGTGATCTGAAATCTAACAGTGTAAGATATGTGCATCTTTACACCTGCGATGTTCCGTGAAACGAAATTATTTGTGCTGTTGACCATTTTGTTAAAACAGCCCTTCATTTGGCATGTCAGACTAACGGCCAGCATGATCGAATCCCCCAAGTCTTAGTAAGGAGAAAGAAATGTCTTGTGAAGTAACAAAGGGAAAGGTGATGATAGCTAGCAAAATAAGCGCATGGGGGCAAATATGAAAGTGGTGTCGGCAGTAATTAATATCATTGTGGTTTGGTGGCATTCAGAGCTCCTCCTCCCGCCCGCCCAGGGCACCCCTCTTGAAAGAGACAAGTACATGTAGGATTTACTCACTTTTGCTAGAATGATAATTTATTATTCTTGAAATTACTCGGGAAATTATTTGTAAATGTGCTACCTAAAATGGACTTTTCATTCGTAGATCAGTATAATTGTTCTTTTTAAACTGTCTTAAATGCAAAATGTAATACATTTTCAACTGGATAATTTCTTGCTATTTTTCCATAGCATACAATGCTTAACCCTTTTCCAGTTCTTATGTAAATTTATAACAGAAAGAACTTGGGGAATGGAAATGTCGCAATTTAAAATTTCACCAATCATCATCACTTTCTTTTGCTTCCTTAAGTAGGTCCTCAACTTCATGGTTGTGAAGCCCAATTTCCAGGTTATCATCTTCTTGCCTCTCATCTTCGCTTTGGCTTTCCACTGCAAATTCCACTTCTTCTCCAGGAACAGATGGTTTGGCGGGTTGCGACTTTTAGCTTTATTAGCATTCTTAAAGTGCTACTACGATCAAATTTGGGAATTTGTTTTTGATTACATATTTAGAAAATATATGTAAAAGAGACTTACTGTGCCAAGTTTGGAGTCCAAATATGATCTGGAAGTGTGTTTATTTGCACGGCAATTTTCGTAAATGTCTTGCCGCCATTACTCGACTCAAAAAATGACCGGGAGTAGTATTTGAAGGAGTTGGGGCGAGATGTGACGTAGAAACATCATCGCGGCAAAACAAGGCACACAAACGTGGCTAATTTCACATGCAGGGCGAGATATTTTTGGAAGCTTTTGGAGGTTCTTTCTTCGCTTTTTTGACTTAAAGCGTAAGTATGCCTTGTAGACGTTGTGTTGTTCAGGACTGTGGAAACGTAAAGAACGATGAATTGGGGATTTCTATTCATAATTCTCCTGATTCAGGCAGCGTTAGATTAAAGTGGAAAAGGTTCATCTCCATTCATTGGAAGGATTTCAACCCAGGGGGAAAATTTGCTGTGTGCTCGGAGCATTAATTTCACAAGGGATTGTTTTACGCTTGCTTTTCCGATGAAAGGCATGAAAACGAATTTGAAGAAGGGGACGTTTCCAACCATTTGGAAAAAATCCTCTGAAACACTATCAAAGCGGAGTCGACGATCGGTGAGTGAAATTACAATGTATTTGCGCCGTACTTATCACCATTATATTTATTTCCTTATTTACCTGTGACATGATTTTTTCTGGCATCGTTGTTCAATATTCGTGTAATGAATGCGCTGACTATTTGGACTTCCCATGTGTTTCCATGCATGTGTTTTCATACTTTTCTGCTTCCTTCTCATAGTTATAATAAAACGGGCATTTGTGCATAGTGGGTATTTGTTGTTGTGTAGACTTTCCAGCTCACGTTTTTAGGCCCAATGCAGCCACTTCTAATACATGGCAGTTTAAGCAGACGCTTTCAAACCCTGGATGGAGGGTTATGCATACGGTCCGGTCTCCAATGGCTTCTTCCATGACCTCTTCGCAGCGATCAATCTCTTTGCAGCAAATGCACTCCTGCGCTTTTGTAACAAGGCTGACAGAGAAGTTCGAGCACGAACACCTGCAAAATAATTTGAAAATTTCGTCAAACACAAGAATAATACATCTGTATAAAATAATTCATTGTCTGACCGCTTTAATAAAACTATCTCATAAAATCAGGACTACAGCTAATCACATAGCAACGAAAATGTAAACTTAAGCGAAACACATAGTTGCATTTGTCATGTGCACGATTTAACAACGGGTATGTTGAAATTGGAAAATAAAAATATAAATCTACATTCAGTGATAATACCATACCATTCTTTCGCTGGCACCTCTCCCGAATATCTTTGTTGATACTGTTGTTCCTCTTCTTCTTCACAATGAACTCTTTCGTTGTAGTCCGCGGCTTCTTCCTCGGTGGCAAGAGGTTCGCAACTGTCGTCGTACGGCACAAATTCAGACAATTCCCCAATCACTTCATCAACTGTAAAAGTTTCTAGATCATTTTCAGATGTGCGGGAAGAGGAATCCGACGGAGATGACATCTTGAACATCTTATACTATTTTGCAGCTCTGCTTCAACTTTAGCTGTCAAAATTTCACACGATCGTATTTGCCATGCTGTATCTATGACACCATGGAGTTCTTGCTTTCTGTAATCATTGAAGTGTGGGTCAGAGCAGGGTTCTCAAGCTTTACTATTCCAAAATTTGTAGTACTCTTTGCAGCCATCAGTGGCCCTTTCAATGTCACACAAAGAGTACAGATGAACTCTTCCCGTTGCCGAATCTAGTGGCTCCTCAGGGCGTTCTGTGCGAATCTTGAATGTGGTAACAATGGTTATCTGTTTTGCTCTCTTTCTTGGTACTGGCTTGTCGACTTTTTGATCTGGGCATTCTGTTTCTGTGCTCTCAGGACCCGCTCTTTGCTGCAACTTTTTCCATCAATATTTCCACTAGGCTTTTCCTCACAACTCTGAAGATAAAGGAAAAATTCCCTGTTGCTTTCAAGGAGACATTTTCTCAGTGGACCAGTTTTTCCTGCTTGGCGGCAAGTGGTATTTTAGAATTTCCACTGATCGGCTTCAAAAAGCAGTAATGCTGGGAAACAAACTTGGAAACATCTTCTAAAAGAGCTCCCTTCGCCTCCATGAGTGAAAGATTCATATCTTTCTCCTTAACAAAAAGTTGACAAGTGACTTTTTGTCAACAAATACATTGATTTCGAAGCTTTTTCCCTCCATGTTCAATCATTCACAGTTGAAATGAACTGCCTCTCCACACGAAGATCAGAATTGTTATATGTAAATAAAGCTACTAAATAAAGCTACCCAAGGTGTGAGTCAAAAGGCGCTATTGTCTTGTGACAAAATGCTATTATATTGCCAAAAAATAATTATGAGGTGTGAGGGCGTGATTCGTTCACCATTCCGAATTACACTAACCAATTATAATTTGGTACGAACTTTAACATAACGTATGCCACAAATCGACCTCAAGAGTTTCACAGTAGAATACAGCTAGGTGATCAAAAGAATTTCTTAAGCCATGAAGCGGCCTGGACTACTCTAACCACAGGTCATCCAAGGACAACATTTGTTCCAACTTTAGACCAAAAATACGATGCCGTTGGGAAAACATAGCCTGTGTAGAAAACCTTCCTTTTTGTCCTTGCATCAATTCTTCTTTTAGCCTATGTCATATGTAGTCAGTTGTTTCTGCACACAGTGCGCTAGCCTACAAACAGGCTGCTTAGCAAGAGCATGCAAAAAAAAATATTTGGTGAGCGAAGCTCGCTGAGCGTGACGAGATGTTTTTTGCACCATTCCCAAGCCTGGTCCCAGGCTAGCAGTGCACTACTAGAAGAACAAGAACATTTCAGCTAACTTAAGTTTACTTAGGGCACAAATAATAAGCTGGATTGTCGAGGATGAGGTGACCCTTGGTTACGTAGTTCCAAAAACCTCATCTTTTAATAAAGGCAACAGTTCCGGCACAGGTAGAATTTTAACACATGCTGACAACCCAGACAAAGCCAAAGGGAATCCGCCAGTCGATACTGAAACGCAAGAGGTTGCAGCAAATCTGACCGCCCATACTGAAACACATTCAGAGAGCCGGCCTGTTAACATTGGAATGCCTTCAGAAAGTCAGCCTTTTGACTTCGAAATGCCTTCAGAGAGCTTGCCTGCGGACACTGAAGCGCCCTCAGAAAGTTAGCCTGTTAACATTAAAATGCCTACAGAGAGCCTGACCACAGATACTGTAATGCGCGGCGATAGTCAGCCTGTTAACATTAAAATACCTACAGAGAGCCTGACCACAGATACTGAAACGCCCGCAGAAAGTTAGCCTGTTAACATTAAAATACCTACAGAGAGCCTGACTGCAGATACTGAAACGCCCTCAGAAAGTCAGCCTGTTAACATCGAAATGCCTACTGCAGAGAGCCTGACGACGGAAACTGAAACACCCACAGAAAGTCAGCCTGTTAACATTGAAATGCCTACAGAGAGCCTGCCCACAGATAGTCAGCCTGTTCAAATGGAAATGCCTACAGAGAGCCTGACCTCAGATACTGAAACACCCGCAGAAAGTCAGCCTGTTAACATTGAAATGCCTACAGAGAGCCTGCCCTCGGATACTGAATCACCTACGGAAGGCCAGCCCGCCGATATTGAACTGTCTGTAGAGAATGTGCCTGATGAAATCCTTAGTAAGACTCAGCCTGTTGACAGCAAAGTTTGTGAAAATCTGTTGGATATTAACTCGTCAATTTCACATTCGAGGTTACCTTTTCCTGATGTATCTAAGAAGTTTTATTTTCGAGAGGGCGGGCGCTGGGCAAGGAACGAAACGCATAACAAAGACTGTGATGTTTCACCCATGAAAACCAGCAAGGATGGATTAAATGTTCTTAGGAGAGGGAATTTGTCTGGTTCCCTTCCCGAAAACTTTGCACACTTGAGGAAGGAATAAAAAAGTGAGAAAGACGGACACAAACGAGCCTTTAAATAAGGAGTGATAAAGGTAGTGGTTAAGCTCAAGGTATCAATTGTATTGTCCATGCGGGAAGCAGCTCTGTTGTACACTTCTGAAAAAAGTAGGATTCTGAACATCCAAGACACTCAGTCGAGTTACAGGGCTAGTGATACTTATAAGATTCTCTCCAATTACTTGAATCTGGCCCAACTTTACATTTCGGTGTTGCCTATTTGTTTGAAGCACACGGTAGAGACTTGAACCCAGATAAGCCAGGCTATCTTCTCCTTGATGTCTCGATTCCAGGACAGAATGAGCAACGAGAAAGCCTTGCTGGCACTTGCCTTCTTATCGTATTGTCCAGCAACTGCTTACAAGTAAACGTGATCGGGATACACTTGGCGTCCTCCTTTCTAAAGTCACCAGCAAAGAACAGTCTTAAAACTCCGAAGTGCAAGAGTTCTCTTACAACGCAAGCGGCGAAATTAAATGAAGACATTGTACAGTATAAAAACACACAGAGATGCATTGACAGTTAGGAATGACATGACCAACCAGCAGCAACAAAAGTTCTACCGTTTGTTTCTTAGGCGATTACAAAGGGAGCAATTAAAATCGCATATCTCGCAAGGCAGAGGTCGAAAATTAAAATGCGAAGGGTTTCCCGAGTTACCTGCACTTCTGGAGTTTGCATTTGGAGACGGGAATAGGCTCCAAAGAAGTGGAAGAAGACTAGAAGCTCATTCAAAACTGTACGAGACAATGTAGAAGGCAAGCGATGATACGACTGTAATGAGAGAAGCAATGGATCTCGTACATTGCCTTGTGCCAGAAGATTTTAAGATTAGTTTGTCGTGCCTATACACTTATGCTATGAATTATAATCAAGGAACGGCGCAAGCAAAGAGACATCACCACGGGACTAATGTTAATGCTAAAATATCTCTACACACTGCACCCTCAACAGGCGAAATTAAGAGACCGGTAAATGCACACTGGACAACTTCATATGTTAACTTTCTGTGTGACGTTGCACATCAGAACTCAGACAGCTATCTCCTTGATTCCAAAGATGCTAAATGTATTGTTGTCGGCGACATTCCTCCTGTGTTAAAACCAGGTCAGGTATGGAAAAGAGAGGTATATCCAGATCACACATTCGATCAGTCCAGAAATAATGCTGTGACACCAGTTTCACATCTTTTTGTTGAGACCAAGATAACAGCACCTCCACCTTTGTCTGAAGGATGCTTTAGTATCCCCGATACCTCTGCATCGATCCTTGTTACCCGCACTTGGAACGCAATGGCAATTGTTAATTTATCTTTTTACGAACTAGAAACAGTTCTTCGAGTATTCAATGATATTTTCTTGCTAATGAGTCACAGCGAATCGACAGAATTCTCTAAGAATCTTAAAACTGGTCAGTTAAAAGAAGTGTTTGCTTTTGTTGTTGACAATGGTCCATCGGAGGCACCGGCCAATTTGCAAGTACAGATGCTGTTGGTTTGGCTTCTGAAGTTTCTCAATCTTGACAAAGCTACACAAAGATCTTTTGCTGAGTACTTAAGTAAAAGAAGTTTTGTAGAGAGGATGCATGCCGTTGAAAAATACTTCTTTTTCCAGACATGGAGTGTTCAGGGGCATAAAATCCACAAGCATGTGGATACCAGTTCATTTCAGCACAAGGAAAATATGGAGGCAATGGCCGAAGATGTTGTCAATAGTCTGAAAGGTTCGACTTTTGGCGGCAAAGCGATTTATCCTCTGACAGGATCAGGAGACTCTGGTGTTTGATGATGAAATTCAGTTGAAAGAATTCGTTCAACTGACCGACCAAAGAAAGGGCCAATGTCGAGAAGGTTATTCTCTGAATAAGAATAACGTCTTTTGCTATTTGGTGAGAAATGGCGAGGAAAACCTATGGACAGATTTGAAAGGAGGCCTGTACCAGACCTTGTTATACGGGAAGAAAGTGGAAAAGTTCATTGTTTACCTTTCGAATTGTGTGCAAACTTACTGCGAGGGCCTTTGGACGAGCTCCTTGAACTGTTCTTGCCATCAAGGGTGCTTGATTTAGCGTTCAGAGTTTTTTGGAAACCAGAACCTGCTCTGCTAAAACAGGTAGCCTTTCTTGCCTGGATTTCTGACCAAGAGGCGGATAACTACTTCAAGGAAAGCGAGCGATTAGTTCAAGAAACTCTAAATGATGATGTAGTTAAGGAGAAGTGGGTTCACCACAAATTATTCACTTCCAATACTAGGCAAGAGCTTGAGGCCATGTGCCTTGCTAAAAGGATAAGCTTTGTCGGAAAGAAGCATGAGTTGGTTGCAAAATTGGCGGAAGAAAAAGATGCAGATCGCGATGTTTGTATGTATGACGGAATTATAAGTAATGTCCCTTCTTCTGTGAGTCTGTTGAACAAACAACCAGTCCGATACCTAAGGGCAGTCTTGTCACAATCCTTAGTGTTGGAACCAAGGAGGAGGTGATTATTCGCATTGGACTTTTGAAATGTGGACAGAAGCACATGGTATTCAGCAGAGAGAGAAAAGCCTTGGTAGAGCTTATTTCAATGTTCAAAGAATTGCTTGGCATTGAAGGAAAACAGTATTGGCAGTGTCATTCACAGCCCTGTGAAATTAGTCCATTTCCAAAACATACACTTTTCATGTTGTTTAAATAATGATGGTGTCCCTTTCCGTACAAAAATGGACCTGGCCTTATTTCATTAGTTGTCTTTGGCATAAGTTCTTCATTTGCGTGGCATTCAACAAATTCAGGATTAACCTTGCCGATTTAAAGTGCCTTAAAGGCAAGTCAGTGAAGGCGTCAAGTACAGCAGAAAATAGGCAGCAAATCTCCTGGAATAATTATGTCCTAGGACCAACTCGCAAAGCGTTTCATTGTACAGTTTGTTCCAGTTTAAATACCTTATTTTACGATGAGCAAAATCTACGCTTTCTAAAATTAGCGCGAACTTCAGAAAAGTTAGGTTGCTTGTCATTTTGTTTGACACGTTTTCGGTTATGGGTGAAATTTCTAGTTCATTATAGAAACGTTCCAGGAGACTTAGTTGTAACAAATCCGTCGGATTTGCTGATAAATCTCTGGTTTTCTTGCTCTTGGTCAGCAGTCCGGCAATAAAAGTAATTTTTACATATGGCAGATATTACATTGTAGTTATTGTAGGTTGAAAAACATGATTTTGGATGTCCAATCTCTAGAAAATGAAGCAAAATGATGGAGATTTCCTGATGAGTTTAGTGGTTGATTTCCATTCTTGCTAGAGCGCAAATATAAGCTTAGTAAGGAGAAATAAAACGAGTTATGATACCGTAAATGAACTAATTATATAGCTGTTAGTTTATCTGATATTGTCAACAAAGCTATTATCCTTTAATTTTTACGAACTGTCCAATTAAGGATTAATTTGGATAGTTTCAGATAGGACTTTCTTTTACGAATGGGCAAACTGTCCAATTTAAGAAAAATAGGACAGCTGGTCTGAGCCAATCAAATGCCAGAAAATACAATAGGCAATGCAAACTAGCCAATCAGCGCAAAGTCCTTGTGACAACGCGCCAAAAAAAGTCTCGTTCGCTGACGGCTCGTTGGCTGCTGTTTTGTTTTGGCTTCTTGTCTGCGCCATTTAAAAAGGAAAATGTATGACTTAACTGATGAAAGTTTGTATTGGAAACAATCAACGATTCTTGAAAATGTAGAAGCACTGAAACTTTGGACAAGAATAAGAAAACACTGATAGTTGTGTTTAGACGTTGGCATTACAAAACAAACGGACAAAGTTTGTGCCGAGGAATCGTTTGAGGTAATGAATGAACATGATGAAATGTTTATTTCAATAGTTTTCGTATGTAAATTAAGCTTAAGCATTTGCATTGTTGCTTTGTACTCGAAATTGCGGTTTTCACCTGTGCCATCGTATCATTGCCGTATCATCGAAGGAGCTTTTTCAAATGTACACTTGACTACAAATGCCAAAGTATGAAAGAGCAATAAGCTTACTAGTTCTACGTTTGTTTATTTGTAAAGAATAACCAGTGTGTTTTTGTTTCAAATACACTACTGGCGGGTTCGAGTGTACAATGTTTCGCGTCTGTGACATACTAAAAAATCTGGATTAACTAACCAGCTATATAATTAATAAGTAAGAGGACTACATGCTTGTCCAATTTGGAAATAATTGAATTCAAAAAATTCCTCTGACAGCCAAATTGGACTCGGCCTACGGCCTCGTCCAATTTTGGCTGTCCTCGGAATTTTTTTCATCCAATTATTTCAAAATTGGACAGCATGTAGTCCTATTACATATACTAATAAACGCTGGGGGCGTTTATTAAAATAATTTCAAGGGTCCAAGGGGGGGCGTTTATTCTAATAACTGTAACATGGTAACCTAATTATGGCTTTATAATAATCTACATGACAGAGCTTTAGCAGACTATCAAGTCCGTCCGCTGATAAGCCTAAACCGTCTACAAATCCATAACGGTATATGGTACGTACAAAGTGGTGGAAAAGGGTACCGTACTGGTAGTTCTTATAGCTCAATGTCAACATCCGAGTCCTTGTCGAGCACCATGGTATTTTTATTGCCGGCCTCTTCTATGTCTGAGTTAGTTATTGCTTGAAATGGGTCTGGAAGAGTCGGCTCGTCAAGCATGGAAAGTTATGCCTTCAACTGCTCTGATTTTGCTTCGCATAGTTGGATTGAATTGAATTGAATTGAATCTTGAGAGCCATCAATGGCTAGATTTAATGCATAGGACTTAAGAGCAAATGTTACCATCAGTCAAACATTTCGTGGCAGGTAGACCTTAATGTAAAACAAATCGCTGCATAGTTCGTTTGGCTAAATATTGATTAGTTTTCGAGGAAATCAATGATAACCGAATCCTGAGAATTTACCACGTTTTGAGCTTACAATTTCGGTCGAAAAAGAATGCTTCGCATAACCAAATAACACATTCTAGAGAAATAAAATGTGCTAAATCTTGTAGAATGATGCCAAAATATGTGGTAAAAGCAGATTGATCAATTCTTTTCCGTTTACTTTGAAAATATACTTACATTTCGCGAACCCTCTTTTATCAAGATGAAAACTTGCCAAAAAATAACCTTTAATCTTAGTATGTGGTACTAAATGAAATACGTTGAAAAATCTGGATTTCGAACGCCGAATAATCGTTCTTTTACATATCCATAGGATTTTCTGTGGAAATGATTTAGCGCGAAGAAATTCAATTTTAAAGTTCGATACAATGCCCTGTTTTAACCGACTTTCCAATTTATGTAATAAACACACAGAAATACAAGTTTTTCAAAGATAACACTCAATCAAAAGCGGGATTGACGTAAAAATTTAACCAACACGTTTGATACAAAATTCAATCAAACTACAAGATAATTTGAAGACTAGACGCAAGATGTTTTGTTGGGAAGTTTTCCCGACCAATTATCTCTGAATTTAAGATCAGAGATCAGATTTAATAAGTTATTTCCGTTTGCCTTTCCTCCAAAATCAGTTTCGAACTAATAAGCAAACCAAAGGCAAACAATTTAAAGAGCGGTTTCTCTCAAACTGATACATTGAAAACACGTCTCAAATATAATCTGTGACAATTTCGCACAAGAATCAAATCTTTTGATCATGGAATTAAAAGGTCTTTTGACATTCTTTACCATAATAACAAGTTACATTTTCCTTGAGAACGTAGCCAAAACGGAGCTTGGCGTTCTCAGCAAGTTAGAGTCGCAGAACATGTATTTATTTATCAGGTGATTTATAGCAACTCGTTGCGGTTGCGTGACCAATTTTTATTTCCAGAATTGAGAGCGGAAGTTCATGTGCCAGACTTTTTGTGACTGGAAAATCATGAACCCTAGCTGCTGCTAAACATTTCAAACTAACGAGGCTTTTTAGTTACAATATCACTTTTTACATGTTATACCCTCAGCTATATTCTACGGCAATAAACCACATAAACCAACTTCAAGAAGATCAAGCCTCTGAATAAATTTCAAAACTGTCAAAGATGAAACACAAAGAGTTTTTACACGTCTACTAAAAGCTTAACCCCAAATCAAACTAGAAAATGCAAGTGATTAAATGCAGGTGCCATGACGAATTCATTGCCTTGTACGTGAAATACGTTGCCACATCTCAAGTTCGGAAAAACTAACTCTTGGCTTTGACCATCAACAAGTTTTTTTTTTTTTTTCAGCTCGGTAATGGTCTCCAGCTATTTAAAAGGTAATAACATTATTGTCTCAGTGAGTTGAACAGGATCACTCGGACACGACTGGTCACGGATAATGAATTCCTCGATAAACTAATTTTAACAAAGACTATGCAAATTTAACCAAAAACTATTGTGAAAGACATCCACGAGGAATTATAGATGCTAAAGTAAAGTAAATTTTAAAGAAAATTGAAAAAAGAAATCCAAAGTAGTTGGCCACATGATCGACTACGCCCCCGAACCTCCAGTGTTCGAAAATTGTAACTAACGATTCCCACCACTTCCTAAACGTGTAGCTCCAGTTTTCTATATCAAAGCATTGACCGTACAAAGTCTATGCGAAATCAGCTCAGAGTGGTTCCTGAATCATTACAATTTGCAGTTGAAACTGGTGTTCATTGACTAGTGCAAGTCCTCCTCTAACTAAAGTTTTCGTCAGGAAGAGACCCATATGAGTTCTTTTCACTCCTCTAACTGTTTTTACAAGAAGAATATTACACTGTAGATCTACAAAAGGAGAACGGGTTGCTCTCTGTCCGTGGGCAGTTCAACTCGAAGGATTGCTCGATAAAATAGGGCGTGGTGGATCACGTGATGCAGTTAAAAATAATTTTAAAAATGAAATTGGAAGATTCCTTATGATTGGTCTTAAATTGTTGGTCACGAGATAGCTTGAAAAAACTTTACATTAGACCATCCCCCCTTAAATCTACTTGAAGATGTACAAGATTCTCTGTTTGTGGGTGTGGCTGTGATTCCTTTTCTCTCCACAGACTTAGCTAATTTATAACAACTTGTTACTTTTCGTATAACACTTTTCCTTTTGTTGGCTTTTCCGTGGTTTCTGTCGTAAAAGCTTCGAGGATAATTTTGGCGAGACACTTTACAACCCCCGTCAATCGTCACTCTTAAAAGGGTGTCTCTAAAAAGTTCTATAGACGACACACATAGCGTAGAGCCGTCAATTTTAGTTTACCCTAAATAAGACATTCTCGACATCACTGACTATTTCGTAGGTTAATCTCTACATATTCTGGTCAGCCTTACTAGTTTTAGAGCCACACCTGGCCACAACGCCTTCAATAATTATTTCTGGCTGCTTGCGCTTGCCAGTCATCGATGCTACATCCAGTTCTAAGGCTGCACAGATGTTCTGCAGTGTTCGTATCGAAAACTTTGCCAGCTTAGACTGACCTACAATCTCACAGATGTTGTATGTTTCGTACATGATAGGATGCTGAAGGGCTAATGCTTTCATTACTTCGTTGGACATTTCTTCGATTGCCTTCTCTGTTATCAGCTCATTCCTTTCAGGTTCTTCCTCCTCACTGGATTGTTCCCGCTATACATTTTCTTTGCTGACAAGCAAGAAATAAATCCTGCTATTTGTAGTGGTGTGAGATCGCACTTGTCGAAGATATTAGAGCCATCTCTATGCTTTACTCTTCGCATTGACTTTGAGACGCTCGTTGGATCTGCTTTTTGCCCAGTGCGTTCTCCAGCTTGAAAGACTTCAGTCAGATAGTTTTTCTGCGCCACCGTGAGATTCTTTCTTTGTATTCCTGCTGACTTAAAAGCCCATCCCATCGGTAGCACAGAGCCATCACCCTCCTTTGTCATCAACTATTTGTGGTAGGACGCCAGGACCACGCTCCAGTTTGGTGGCGTACATGGTAATTGCCTTGTCATACAGTGTTTCCTGTTCCAGGGCATACTTGTGTTAACCACAGTCCAGATGTTTTTCTAGCAATGAGTATTGTACAAAGGACTTGACACATCCCTCTTCTGGACAGAAAAACAGATCGCTTCCTTCGTCGTTACAGCTTGTTCTGTGGAGTCTCTTCTAAAACCGGTTTTTGCTTTGGTTTATTGAGATAGGTGCGTGTGTGACTTAAATTGTCGCGGCCTTACGATCACAAGATCCTTTTCCGCCTTGGGGGTCGGAAAAGTTATAACGCTTTAGTTCAATTGCATGCTCGCGAGCAACATAGTAGACTGAAAGTAATGAAAACGCAGAATGATAGCATCCTGCGTTATCGCTCCTTACATAAACAGAGTTGACTTCTGGCATGATTTGGTTAAGTTGACGAAAGACGTCATCAATAATGGCGAGTAACACCCGAGTAACACGCGTCGCAACTCTCTGTGTTTACAAACGTTTCACTAAAGCTGTTACAAAGTGAATATTTCTACTTTTAGACTGCAAACAAATTCTCTCGGTTCACTCAAAACAAACAAAAACTGACACCTGTTTTTAAATTAGTACTGACATTCTTAATTAAATTTATTTGAAAAAAATTGATGGCGACGACGTTTTTATCTGATTTCACGAGGTTTTTCCCGAGGGCAACGCCGCAAAATTTTTTTCGCTTCCTCAGGTAATGATTTTTCTATAGTGATCATATTTGTCACTCTTTTACCTTTATTCGTTTTTAAAACAGGTTTCTGTTTTTCTTTCCTTCTTTTTTTACTCTGATATTTAATAAAAAAATTGCTAAGATCCACTAGACACTTGTTCCACGTTCCAATCCCACTTTTCTGTAGTTGTAGATTTCACTTGAATGAAGCGGTATTTCACAACACACACGTGATAACATATGTTTTTGACTTGAAGTCTCTTGGTTCCGCTTTAATTTGCTGCTTAGTTCAAAACTAATGTTTCGGCAAAGAAGACTTACGAAAGGCACTCTAAGACCATTTTTGAGGAAAATGGAGGCAGTGAATACACACAACAAAAACCAACGTCCAAAGCACCTAAAACAATCAATCCCACCGTGCAGCTATCATGTCGTGGGAAATGATTTACGAACCAAACAACACTGGCCTGCAGGAATACAGTCTTCTTCATCATTGATTTGAAGAAAAAAAGGTTAGATTCTATACGTTAAAATAGACCTCTACTTAATGTATTCTGCTTAACTTTTTAGGTGCTTCTGTCAAGTGTAATGTGCGTTCCGCTGTTATGTCACGCGTGGGACAAGCTGAAAGACCGAAATTTATCCAAATTTAAAAATCGATTTCTCCGCTCTGAATCATTTCCCCAAATAATCCTTTGGGACTCTAATAGAACAACTCTTCGACTTTTAAACACTAGGTTTTCAACGAATTATACGTAGTACCACCAGCTTAAATAAAAGGCTAATTTTAGATAAGTTTTCTTCTCGATAAAAATAGGTCGGGCAAATTAAATTAGATTTTAAAAGTAAATAGCCAAGAATTGATAAAAATTGCTTTAACGGTATTTTTTGACATCGGTCAACAATATGTGGTAGATCTTATTGCTCCAATGTGTTTTACTTTCTAAGGCAAGGCGCCGTAAATCGCCCTAAATTTCACATTGAAAAAGCGCGGTTTTCACAAAATTCAGTGATTATCGATTTTCTCAAAAACTAATCGATATTTAGTGAAATGAACTATGCAGTGTTTTGTCTGATCTTAAGGTCTACCTAACATGAGATTATGGGCCAAATTGATTTTTGAGCTGTTGCCATGAAATTTTGAAAATGTTTGATTTTTGGTAACATTTGCTCTTAAATGACTTTGTAATTACCTCAGTGGGGAGCCGTGTCCAGGCGGTCAACACCCATTCTACAATGGTCTTTCTCGGTTGCGGTCGCATGTTTCCCGCTTCTGTAAATTCTTGGACACCACTAGCCATCCACTCACCATACTGTTCAGATACTAATACTTTGAAAGGCCTGTTCCAGCTTACGTCTGGTGCCTGGACATATTTCGTGCAACGGCCGGGAACTATGACTTGATCGACATTGATTTGGTGAAGCGCTTCCTTGACACTCTACATCATATGACACTCATAAGAGTCCCACGCTAGTAAGCATCTGTTGAAAGAAAATGCTCCCAAGACGCTTTTAACTCAGTTCAGAGTCAACTCTTCATTCATCCAGGTATTGGACGATGTGGTTACAGTGCATTTATGCCTGAAATCTTCATTTAGTTTCTTTGTTTCGTGCTTGGCTGCACGAAATACAACGAATGGTTTCAGTTTTGTACCGTCAGCTCGTGCAGATAAACATACAGTAACCAAGACTTTTTCATGCCCAGTGGTCTTTAGGTTGATGGATGAGGCTCCCACCCTGTCAACAGTAGTGTTTAAGACCATATCATCCCACACAGGGGTTTCATCCATAGCTATGATACAAGAAGGCTGATACTCGTGTCCTTGAGAAAGTCTCCGAACCTGAAGGATGTAAGATAGCAATTTGTCAATCAGGGATGAGGGTCTCGCTGTGCAGTAGTCGTCTTTCTTCTCAGCGAAAGCCCATGCTGGAGCATAAACTTTTGAAGCCAATTTCCAGGAGTTCTTTTGATGCATATGCCAATCCTATTTTTATGAGCTCACGAATTTTAAAATTTGAGGATATTATCAAACTCCAAAGGGGCAAAGTTGTGTATCTTTACAAAAACGGCCTAGTTCCTAATAGCTTCAATGACATGCTTTTGCTTAACTGTTACTGACATTCATTTAACACTAGAGAATTTGCCCTACTGCACGACAAATGTAAGAAAACGTTCACTTCGTTTTCACAGGCCCAAAATATGTAATTCCTTTAGCTCTGAAATTCAGAATATGCCTAGTATTGCTTTGTTCATTTCTAAACTGAAGTCATTTTTGTTGGTATAAGCACACTTTAGTTCTCTTAATGCTTGCACATAGTTTTTCGCTTCTTTCTCTTTTCTCATTTATTCTTGCATTTTTGTCACCTTTCCTTTTCAGTTTTTGCACCTACACATTCAACCTTATCTATTTTTATCCTATTTAATGATTATTTTCTGCGTGCTTAGAGTTAAATTGTCTTGCTGTTATCAGCATTTTATTTATTTATTACATTACGTAATACAAGCTTGTGGATTAAATCTAATCGACATTTCAATACCACTCTCACTATACATTGAAGCTTAAGATTGTCTGGGTCTTGTCATATTTAGTGGTATTAACAAAAACAATAAGGACAGACTGAGCAGTTTCCATGCTGAGATTTAATCTGGAGAAATTAATGCTTGGAGAACAGTGCAGACATTTCTGGTTGTGGGTATATTTTACGAATAATTATAGAATTAGTAATTAGCAAATATTCATACTTTTGATGAATAAGGTAGCACAAATTCTAATGTCAACTGAAGTCATAGGTTCCTCAGCCCTTCACTTATCTACGGGTACATAAATATAACAAACAAAAATAACGCGAGCTCTTTCCTAGGCAACAGATAATGGAAAGAGATGAAGTAAGTGATAATCTGATAAAATGTAGTTAAAAGAGATTGACTTTGCTATCTGAATGGATGGCGATATAAAAGCTACTGTAAGTCATATTCTCAAGATTTCTCTGCAATTTCCCCCAAATATTAGTTTCTCTACGACAATGTGTAATACTGCACATTGGCATGTAGAGAGAAGAGATGTTTGAAGTTATATAAATATATAATTCTCATTCATATGCATACGAATTTGTGTGTAAGTATCCATGGGCCAAGACCCCAGGGCCAAATATTCCTGCGAATTCAAATTGCCGCAAAAATGTTTCCCCCCAAAATTTAGTCTAGAGTAAAATATTCTGTAACTTTCAGTCGCTACACAAAAATACAGTGTTAAGAAATCCTATCTGTTCAATGACAATTTACCTTTTTCATTCGGAAACAAAATGCTATACAATGAATAACTGGTGTTACATAAAGAAGGCATACTGTAGTGCTTTTTGAAAGTGTGTATTGCACGTACTTATAAAACCGAAAATATCATCCATGCTGGGAAAGGGGTACTTTCTGAAAATCTTGCAAAAATAAACTCCCAGCTAGAAAAACCAATCTGTCCTAGTCGCAAAAATTAGTTCCCGCAAAGCACAAAAAATCGTCAATCTGCCCCAAAAAATAACTCCTGCAAAAATTTCGTGCCAAATGGCAGTCTAATTATGCATTTGCAATATGCAATAGCATGGAGCCAAATGGCAAGACACATTATGATTCCTTTGGAAATTGCCTTGCTGTTTATAAACTATAGCTCATTATATCATATAAAGGCATTAGAAATGCAATTACAACGATTTCTACAATAAAGTTATCTTTCCTCATATCGTTTTACCCTTCAGCTGTATTTAGTGTTCACAAAGGTGTCATGCCTCACCAAATTGGGGGCTCATAATCGAAAAATTAAGCGTCCAGAAAATGCGAAAGGGATACAATACATATATATTGCACTTCTGTTTCAAGTGTTATGAATATAAATAAATACTTACATTCTTCGCTTTAGGGCCTGTCATACGGCTGATCTATGAGGTGGATTCATTGCAAATGAATAATAAAATATCCTCACTGCACACCTATTACCCCGTCATGGGGAACTAAGTTATGGACAGATGCTGCTCCTGTCCCAGGCATAATGCTGCCTAGGCCCAAATAAGGCACAGAGAAGAACGAGAAAACCAAAGAACTCGATCTCCAAACATCTTTATTCTCCATTACTCAAAAAACCCCAACCTATCCTGTCCTAAACAAAACAGAAAAGCGAGAGCTGTAATACCGTAAATACAGCAAAACATAACTGAGACAGCCACCAGCAAATTATCAGGGTGTGAAATGGGGCAACTGTCTCAGAAGCTGCTCTTGGGAAAACTCTTTCTAAAAGTGCAAGAGATACAGTAGCGTCAGAGCCTTGCATATACCTCTTGGCAACCTCCCCATTCTTCCACCTAGGTAATGAGCAATGTCCTCCAAAGAACAACCTAGCAGCCTTAGGGTATTGGATAGGTCCACCCTAAAGCTCTATCGCAATTATTTCAACTCGCTTATTTTGTCAAATGCAAGGGAACTCTCTCTATCAGCCATATCCAAGTTCATAAAGAAAATGAATTTTGTTATTGAGGAGAGTAGAGTAGAGTTTTTTATTCAGAACCCCTTGCAGCTAAGAGCTGGATAACAGGATCGTTCGCAAATTACACATAATTAACATTTATCTAGTAACAAAAAATCTAAATATTTCACAGGTACAAATTCTGACAATCTTTTTGTCTTACACATTTTGTTATTATAGTTCCGGCAGCTTCGTAATGAGTACGAGTGAATGGTAGTTACCCTTCCACTCATGGCAAGGCCAAACACAGGGTTGGATGGTTTTAAATTATGGGTAAATGATTCGCAAGCAGCAGCCCTATGGTCTTCTAAAGACTGCAGGTCACTTAGTATCAATGCCTTGTAATGTAAATTCAGTAGAATTATCCTAAGGGCGCGCTTTTGAATCCCCTCCAACGCATCAGACACACTTTGGCAGATTCGCGAATACAGCCAAGGCGTATTCAATTACTGATCATGTAAGGGAGCAATATACTGTGACTAGGTCTGATGTCGGCACGCTGCACTTCTTTAGAGTTCCAAGTGTATAGAGGCTACGATTGGCTTTTTTGGTTATGTAGTCACAGTGAACACCCAAGTCAAATCCTCAGAAATGCAAACTCCTAGAAGTTTCAAGGATTTGACATGCTCGATAACAACTCCGCCTGTACGGATGGGGCACCAGGTGCAACTATTATAATCAAGAAAGTCAATCGTCATGGCTTTACATTTAGCTGGATTAAGGTGCATGTTGTTGCGGTGAGAAAAGCACTGGATATCATCCACTATACAATTCAAATATGATGGAGAGTTTCAACGGATGATTTCTAGAATCGTCAGATCATCCACGTACTTTGCGCGCTTAGGCCATTGCTTGTTTACGTCCTTTACAAAACATGAGATAAGGCATTTTCATGTGTAGTCATGCAGTTGACGGCAAAGAAATGTACAAAAAGGATACACGTTCAAAGTTGTTGTTTTGCCTTGTTTCGCTAATTTGACTTTCTCGTTAGCACCACATCTTAAACTTCCTAGTATTTACAATACCTTACGATCTGTCAAAAACAGAATATTCTCCGGGCAAATTGAATTGCTCCTGCTGATAACATCCCAAACGTTTTTTCGACTTATTGGTAGTTCCTTCGTTTCTGGTTAGGAGAGTAGAAAATAAAAGTACCCCTTGCATGCACAAGCTTGGTAAACGAACCAGCTAAGTGTGGCAAGACAATAGCCATCATCTACGAACTCACAAAAAGAACTCAGGATAAATGGTTTGCCAATTGGGCACAATAATACAAAGCATTTTTTGTGCCCAATCAGGAGCCGGCATCTGCCTGAATTCTTGGAAATAGTTCGGTGACAGTTGGTACCCGGGGGCTCTTTTGTCTGTGCTTGAAAACTGTCGTCCTGCTTTTTCTCTCAACCCAAGTGACTGCCCCTGGGTCTCCGAGGATGAGTTCCACCCCTGACAGGAACCCGAATGGCAGGAAGTAGACTTAAAAACTTCGGGTACATATAGTTTGCAACCCAGAATAGCAAGACTTAAAGAGATCACATTCCCTGAAAAACGCTGAAGTGTCTTAAGGCTAATGTGGCAAACTGGATTCTTTTTCCGTGGAGGATGAGAAAAGCTTGATGCACCTAGTCACACACAGAACTGAGAAAACACACCCAAGTCGAAGGAGTGGACTGTGACTTGTCAAGACCAATAAAATAACCCGCCTCAATGTGCAAGTAACACATGACACAAGCTGCTGCCAGGGCCCGCTGGAAAGATGGACCCAAAGTCATCTGAAGTGGAGGCATAAAAGGCTGACCCACATGCCAGTAGTCAATGCATTGTGACGCTAGAACCCCAATGGACCCAGCAGCACCCGAAACCTCGAGGCTGAGCTTGTTATAAATGAACGCACTGGCTTTCCAACCAAATGGAAGAGTACAGAAGACGAAATAAAAACCTTGCCACTGAAAGCCAAAATAAGTGTGCGATGAGGAATGCAACAGCACATGCTGATAACCATTCTTGTCGTCAAAAGTCGTCTGGAAGTGGTGGGGAAGGACATACCTTAGAAGATCGCGCAAATGATTGAGCTTAAAAGGAATGTCGCTAATCCACAAATTCAGATATCTTTCATTGTGACATAATCAGGGCTTGGTTGGCTCGACATTTAACGGCAAAACCAAGTACGGGGAAGCTACGAGATCGACTGGGCCCCAGACCGCTATAAACCCTGCAGACACCCATTTTATTGTGTCACTGACGAACTGGGAAAACTTAGCATAAGTAGCAGAGTTGTTAATAACAGCAGGGGGAGCGATGTCAGAATTGTAGGAAATGTGAATGAAGCACACAAATTTATTGAATAGGCCGTACAAAGTTTACACACAGACGTTCACTGGTGTCCACCACCACCGCGCCCAGTCTTACAATTGTGCACTATGTGGCTGCAACTATGACAGCTATAGCACTGGACCGGGTAAGGTGACAAT